CTTCGTTATTGGATATTTTGTGAATACACCATGCATGAATCATATTTATTAATCTGACTTTTCCTCGCGAGTCTAAATGAAATGGGTGAACATTGGAGTTTGAAATCAGATGGAAAATGAGAAGTTGTCTATTTTCCATTATGCTTTTCTGTGAACAGACACTGCATTTTGTATAAATTAAATCCTGATTGCTTCAAAACAGTAAACTACACCAACAACTGTGTTTCCAGTACCCGTTCTCCACACTTATATAATTAGATGTAAGCCATTGCGTATGTTTGCTACATTTTGAGATCTTCAAATATTATTATTATCCCATAAAATTAAAGTTGAATGTATATTTTAGATCTCCGAGATACCTTGCCCCAGAAATCCTGCTACGAGGTCCGCAGTATTCACTGTTGTCTGGCGCATCTAGCTCAAAGGTACATGTATATGTATTGCAGTGTGTAGAATATTTTGTGTTGACATGCGAGGACTCATATTAGTAGGGTTTTTTTCACTATGAACAGCAGGAGCGTTTACTAGAGACATTTTACTTTGAGTTTCGATCTCCAACAACTTGGAATTGATTGTTGTTTGTAGAAAAGCTTTGCTTATCAATTCTCACCCATTATTAAAATTGATTAAAATTTGGTTTATATGCAGTTAATGTATTTAGTAATTACTTTCTATTGATGATGGTTTCCTTGGAATTTGATTTAGGCGGACGTGTGGTCTCTAGGAATTGTTTTAACTGAGCTTGTTTTGGTAAGTTATAACTGAGTTTAATATGTTTAATATGTTTAATAATAAATTTTGTGACACACAACAATTATTTACAAAAAATGTCAAATAATGTAAGTTAAATAATAACAAGAAAGATAATGTTATCAAACAAAATAATAAATATTTACTTAAAAGCCTATGTGACGAGGAGGTTTGATATAGGAAACCAATTAGGCTTATTAAAATTATCAAACCCCCTCTCGTTTGAGAATTCACACTAATTATAAGCTTATTTCAAAATAAATAACAATGGTAAGCTTAGTTAATTATACATGGAGCAGAAAAGTTTTTTTAATTTCTTTGTAAAGGAAGAAAGCGATACACTATTCACAATATCATTGTCTAGACTGTTATAGAGAAATGGGCCTTGGTATTTTATAGAGAATTGACGTAGATTTGTTCTAGGAGTTACAATGTGAAATTCATTTGCTCTTCTAGTATTATAATTATGTATTTGGCTATTTAATAGGAAAATATTTTTAAAATGTTCTGGTACAAGATTTTTTTTATACAAAAACATGAATTGACATGTTTGCAATTTACATATGTCTCTAAATTTCAATAATCGAAGGTTTTTAAAGATCATGCTTGTATGAGAATCAAATGTACTATTATTCATAATTCTAACAATACGTTTCTGAAGAACTACCAAACGAAACAGGTTGGATGCATACGTAGATGCCCAAACAATATTGCAATATTGCAGGTATGGGTACACCAATGAGTAATACAAAGTAAACAATGATTGTTTCAAACGAAAAAAACTAGATTTACGTATTATTCCTATTGATTTTGAAATCTTCGTTGACACATGACTAATATGAGATTTCCAAGAAAGTTTGTCATCTAAAATAACTCCTAAGAAAACGATTTTTTCCACTTGATCAATTTCTCTATCATTTAATAATAGTTGAGTAAAAAATATGTGCATACGCTGTTGTGTAGATTAACATTATTATTAAAACAATGCTCCTTAACATTTCACAACTGTTATAGGGCGAATTGATTTGGAGCAATCTTACCAAGAAATCTGACATTAAGCAGATCTTAGGAAAGATGCTTGCACTGTTCATGAAGGAAAAAGGTAATATTGTTTATTTGTAATGTGTTGTAAACAAAAATGTGTTTCAAAACGTGGTTGAGAGAGAATTTATGATGATTTTCCCGCTGTGTAGAAACTGGTGAAAATCCATTTTGTTTCCTGCTGCGAGAGCATGGTGCAGTGGGTAAACTCGAGGTACGTTTGATCATTTCTTTATTGCCATGTCTCAATATGTTCACTGTATACGATTTCTAATATTTGCGATGCACATTTCAGGATATTTCACCAGATTTACGTTCTTTTATTGAATGTTGTCTTACCATAAAACATTCGAAAAGGTATGATATTTTTCAGATTCTGCATGTCCTATATAATGATATAAATTAATAGTCCACCACCTAGCTTGGGGACATTTACACTCTTTGTCATTTGTTACACATGGTGTCTTTTCATGGAGATACTCCATAAAGTGTTGTCTTTAAAACAAAAACAATATTTCATTCAACTCTTTCAGAAAAAATCCAGTGGAACTTGTTGAGCACCAGCTCTTCTTGAACTGTAGGAGAACAGAAAAGGTACGATGAAGGATTCCTGTTTTTCGCCATCATTTAGACACTCGTCTGATAGATTTGGTTCTTGATTGACATTCTCTACCTTCAAATTTCGACTGATATACTGTACTCTTCATTGTCATTTGAATATATGTCCAGATGAATTGTACACTATAGCAAAAGAAAACACGTGTTGTAGTGTTGTATATTATGCGCTGTATTACACCCCCCCCCCCCTCCTCCTCTTTCACTGTTGGGTCTCAGTTACCATCTTACTTTGGTGTATTATTGGGTAAACATCATTGAATAGGGAGGGGAGGGAGATGTCAATATTTGTAATAATTTGTATACATCCACTGATGATCTAAAACCGCAAATGTCCCAACAACATTTGAAAACGATTTTAGTTTCCGAAAGAATTTCGCTTTCAAAGCAGATGTTACGTGTGAACTGATCCAGCATGATGTATCAAGCTTCCTTGTAATTTAGATTCTCTTCATTTAGGTTGAAGATAGCATTGATATATTTCCTGCAGTATTCAGGTCTGGAGAACTTGAACTACCTGTGGACTCTTCAAAGGAAACCACATCAGGTACGTTGTTCACGTGAAGTATTCATCTGTAGAAATATTCCTGCATTGGGGACGGTAAGCTTACGTACTTAGTCGATACAGTTGTTTGCTGTTATTTCATTAATTATCATGACATAATTACGGCACATAACTATATATTGACTTTTAACTACTATTTAATACACAAGCGGGAGTGATTTATCAGATATAAAACACGAGAGCGCAGCTCGAGTATATCTGATAAAGCACGGACTGTGAGTGTTTTAAATAGCTTATAAAACGAACCATCTAAACATTGGCAAAGTAATTTTAAAAATAAACGTTGTCTAAGCCGAGAAAATCAAAGCTAAAGTTTATGTTATTTTATTTGAACATGATTTTTTATCGCATATAAAACCTCCGACACGGCAGTGATTTCCTTTGTATTTTCCTCATGAATTATTAATGAGTTTTTAAGTACTATTTAAAGCACGCGTAGGAGTGTTATATGTGATAAAACACGACTACAAGTGCTTTAAATGGCTTAAAAAACGACTCATTTTATTTATACGAGTTCATTGGCGAAGTAATTTTTAAAATAAACTTTGTCTAAACCGAGAAAATCAAAGCTAAAGTTTATGTAAATTAACATGATTTTTTATCACATATAAAACCACGACACGCTTATGATTTCTCTTTGTGTTTTGCTCCTGAATTATTAATGAGTTTTTTAAGTACTATTTAATACACAAGCGGGAGTGCTTTATCAGATATAAAACACGAGAGAGCGCAGCTCGAGTATATCTGATAAAGCACGGACTGCGAGTGTTTTAAATAGCTTAAAAAACGAACCATCTAAATATTGGCGAAGTAATTTTGAAAATAAACGTTGTATTTCTGAACATGATTTTTATCACATAAATAATCACCGACACGGTAGTGATTTCCTTTGTCTTTACCTCATGAATTATTAATGAGTTTTTTAACTTAGTTTAAAAATAAATGAAAGAGGCCAGAAAATGATTTTTATATTTTATTAGCTAACGTTAGTTGTATACAAGACCCACATCTTGAGAGCTTTGAAGTGAAAATTACATGGTTTGCTATATGTACTGTATTTACAATGGAATGGTTTAAATTACGAAAACGGTCATAACATCTAAAATTTTAAAAAGAGCAAATGAACATAAAGATATGAAAACAACTTATCAGTACCTGCTGTTATAGGAACTAGTTTAATGTTACATAGTTAGTAATTGAAGCTCTGAAGATGTCGTAGTTAGTAAATCAAAGATGTTGTACTGTTACGAAAAGTTAGCTAATAAAATTTCATAAAGTATGTGTGGTATAAAACCAAATTTCATAAAGTAACGTGATATACTTTTTAACTGTGAAACAACCAACAATGAACCGTATACATGACGTTGTGCTAAATATTTTTGGCCTTGATACAGTTCGTGTAAAATTTGCCAAGATAGCGTCCTTGGCAAACACGCAATTTTTGCAACTCATGTATGAAAATCTAAAAGTCTCAAAATCCTACATGTAATTTGTCTTGCCGAAGTACTGTTGTTAACTGACGTAGTTATAACTCGTACTTTTCCATTTCTTTTTTTAGGAGATGATCTACTGCAAGAAAGGTATGCTGAATGCTATAGTTTTTATGTTTTGACGTGAGAGTCCCCTCACCCACTGCCCAGAGTCCCCTCACCCACTACCCAGAGTCCCCTCACCCACTGCCCAGTGCAGGAATTGAACAGGTGACACAAACGTCTTTTCAGGACGCTCTTGACCAATATAATTTATTTTATTTTTATTGTAAAATCTGCTGCGTTTCTCCTATGCATGTGCATTGGTGGATTTTCCATTTTGAAATACATTATAGCATTTAGAAAATGCACTGGTTTTGAAGGATTTGTAAGAAATGTTTGAGGGAACTGAATCAGTGTTTAACAGTGAGCTAATCCTTCAACACTTAGAATTTACTGATGCAAAATTCTGCATCTACTGTGATCACAGAAACTTTGATAGTGTAAACCAGATTTTAGAAACGTTAGACAAAAATAATTTCATCAAGATGAACAAAACACGTGCGCTTTATTATTTCAAAATGGCTTCAGCTCTGTTAAATTGTTTTTCAGACCTATTCGAGAAATTTATCATTTGTGGACTTTGGCTGGGGGAGATGTTTTTGCTGAGCTGAAGAAACATGACTTGATCAAAACGTTTCCACCTGTGTGTAATATGCCCAAGTGAGTGCCCAACAGTGACGATTGTGTTACCTATATACACCATCATCACTTACAACTTGAGTTGTACTGTGTAAATCAAGCACACAGCTCCAACGACAACGTATAGCGAGTTGTGTGTGTTTGATTTGCACAGAACGTTGTAAGCAGGTTGTTTTAGGCAAAGATTGTGTAGTGTAAATCGTCCTTTATAGCAACATAAATTATGCATATTATACACACATTACTGTATAATTTCTGATATCTCTATAAATGTGTTCAAGAACATTCATAGAAATATTGGTTTTTCAGTCGTGACAGTGGAAGTGTTTCTAAAATATTCTGCCACTTCATTTGAGACGTTTGACGAATTATCCGCAACTTCCTGTATTTGATCATTTCAAGTCCTTTCCTGCGTGTTTATGATTGGTCAATTGCACCAAAACCAAAGGTGATTGGTGCATTCATACAGGACGTTTATCAAGATTTCAAAGAAAAGGTTGGTGTGAGCAATTGGTAGATTATTTTAGGTACACTTCCATTGCATTATGGGTATTTGCAATATTTCACTGGGAAAAAAAGTTAAATTTATACTACGAAATTTGCAATTGCAGCGCTAAGTCCGTAGTATATCCATACTATTTCCATACTATATCCATACTATGGAAATATACAATTATTATGGATAATCAAAATCCATTCTATTTCCAATAAAGGTCCATACAATTTCCTTTCTATGACCTTCTATGGATTTTCAAAATTTTTTCCAGTGGCTGGTTGTTACACTGTGTTTATTTTTATATCGACAGTGTTATATTACATGGTGGAGATACATTGGGTGTGGCGAAAGATAGAAATCTGTTGCTGGACGACAGTGTGGTGTGTTTATCTTTAGAGAGAGTAAGAGAGGTAGGAGAGAACTGGCTCAGTACTGCCGTTGAAATGAGGTCGCGAGTGCTGAAAATGTAATTTCTGATTACCAAACATTTAGAATTTAATTTTTTCAGGAATGGGTTCGACTTCATTTAGATCTACAGTACTGAGAAAAACAAGCAATACGAAATTATATTTATGTACAATCATGTTTATAAATAGTGGCTACGCTCTTCCAACTTTGATTATTACTGGAATTACTGTGGTACCGTTAATTTCAAAGATTTTACTGGACGAGGGATTCGTTTCAAACTTCGAGATCCGAGGCAAGCTTAAATGATCGGAGAAGAAAAACATTTTACAACTTCTACCTGACATTTTATAAATATGTTTTTGATGATATTAAATACCCATGATTTTAACTTTCTATTATATATATGCATGGTTATGCTTCTACATCTCGAATTATTATAACGACAGAAAGATGACAAATAACTCATGTTTTTTAACGCGACCTGCATTCACGCTCTTACACGAAGAAAGTACTGTTTGTGTGAAATAGGCACTTGTGCGACCATAAATAGATATTAAACAACAAATACATTCATATAATATGCAGATATATTGTTATTAAGTCATCCAGTGCTGTATTAAGGCATCCAGTGCCCTTTTTCTTGAAGAACTTCTTTTTCATTTTTTTCATAATTATGTACAGTTTTTATATTGTAGCAATTGTCTCACGTGGAACCTACCGCCTATTATCCACTACTGGTTGAAAAAGAGTAAGTTTACCAAACGCTAGAATTATCTTCATACAAATGTTTTGTATGTAGTATATGTACATACCCAGAGGTACAGACCATTCATATTAGTCTGCTCATGTCTTGTAATGAAGGCGAATTATTACCTTATCGAACCATTTCGAATTTGACTTCTTTATTATTAACTCATCAACCACGCGTTTTATACAATGTAACTGTTACATGACATATTGTATGATATTGTATGATGATAATTTTGGCATATTTACATTAAAAGATATAACAACAAACTTCGACGTCTCGGGGAAGTTAATTGCATCATACACACAAGTCGAGTTCATGGTGTCTGATTGGCTAACAGCCAATTGTTAGCTCGTCATATCAACTCAATAGCTGACTAAAATATGAGTTTTGGCGTAATATTCAACGGGGTGACGTCATAACGTTGATATGAAAAAATAGTATTAAACGATATGGAATTTGCGTTCTTTCATGACGTCATGCCGATGACGACTGCCGAAGGATTGAGGAATTGTACTGTAGATCAGTCAACATCTGCCGCTGTCTTTGAAATAAATAAAAAAACAATTATTGAATTCGGTTTTCGCATGATATGAAGAATTATCAAGGTCTCAGTACATCAAGCCTTCGGTTGATAAGACAAACTTCGGGTTTCACAATTCTTCTTGTCGTGCCTAACTCGTTAAATAATTGTTAATTCACATTAGTTTTTATGTTTTAGTCCTTGTGCTTTTGAATCTTCCGAAATGAAGAGTTTACCCGTCGTTATCCGTGAACGTGATGTTGAATATCAGGTAGCTAGTGTCTTGCAAATATCGCTTTATTATTAACATTTCCCACAAGCTTCTAGCTTTAAATGACATCGTGTGAAAATAGTCACGTGATTGAGATGAAACCAAGGAAAGTGTTAAGCGTGGTTTACACTACCAGAGTTTTTGTGATCATAGTAGGAATTTTACATCGGTAAATTCTAAGTTTTGAAGGATTTGTAAAAAATGTTTGAGCAAACTGACTTAAAGTGTGAGTAGTTCCCTCAAACTATTCTTACAAATCCTTCAAAACATTTGTAACTGTAAACCAGCCAAGGACGTAAAATCCTATCCAGAAGAACATTGGGCTGGGGTCATTCATAGACTCACCTCGGCAGCTCGTGAGCCACTTTTTTGTTCTTCCAACATTATGACGTCATATTGTTTATCTATTACTGAACATACAACGTCAACATGTTATCTATTTGTTAAATATATGTACGCTGTACTGAGATATTTTATGAAGTTCCAGTTTCCTGTACTATGCTGTTTTTAACGCAAAGTTTACAATGATTGATTAGAATTGAGATCACTTGGGGGAATAGATACGTTTCAAGATATTTGACATTCGATATTATTCATTCTTACTGTAGTTTCGACGAATTGTGATTTTTCAACGATTGCTTGAAGTAAGTGTATTCCTATTAAGGAGCTTTAAAGCAAGCAACGTTTTTGTCAACACGGTAATTTTCAACACATGATAAAATTTTTTTATAGTTTTTTGCTTCCTTATATGAGCGCTATGATTCAAAATGGCGCCAATATTAGTTCTACTAATTTTCGGGTGACGTCCGTGTTTACAGAAACGTCGCTTGCTTGAGCTCACTAATATTAATAATTATATAGAGTCTGTCCACCTTGCGATGATACCTTATATAGACATAACCCCTTATCGCTGTAGGCATACGTTATTGCCACAAGGTTCAGCTAGGTAGGGATATCTACAGGGTAATTTTTATGTCTACAAAAATATCTGAATATATATAACAGGGTCAGCCACAAGTTAGTAATTAATGGACGTCATTGGAGAGCCCTCGTTCAGATTTGACTTCCACTACAACTACTAACGGACCATTAACCAATCAGATGCGTTTAATGTATCCGATTGACCAATCAGATGCGCCCGTGAGAGGTAGCGGGAGTGGAAGTCAAATCTGAAGCTCTATTATTAACGAGCATTCATATTCAACGACTAAATGCATATGAGGGACATACACGCTCCCACGTTTTCCACAATTGCCTTTTTCCAGATAAAACAAAAAATGGGGGGGGGGGGTGCTCTTCAATAATGGAAAAGGCGCCCCCCAAGAGGCAGTCCTTCTCTAATACATCCTTCCTGAAAGTACGTCACATTGGCAATAGAGCCTCGTTTTCGTGTGTGACATCAGTTAAATCCAAGCGTCTCAAACATTGGCTCTATAGCCAAAGTGACTTACTTTTCGGAAGGGTGTATTGTACCTTGTTTCCTATGCCACTGCGTTTGTAAAATATCAGTTGGTGTTAACGGTTGGTTTCAATGAAAAGCGTTAATTAAGGGTAGACAGTGAAAACATATCTACTTGCCTGACCCTGAGGATATATAGGTCAAAGTCGAACGTTTCGAAGAAGAAGCGTTCGTGAGGAAGTTAGTAACTGTATAGATATGAGACAAGAAGAGTGCATTAGTGGGCGTTGTCGAGGTACTATCGAAGAATATTTCCCAGCAAGGATCTATATGGAGTTAGCAAGCGACGTAGTAGTAGTATAGAAGTAAGCAAGCGACGTAGTAGTAGTATAGAAGCAAGCGACGTAGTAGTAGTATAGAAGTAAGCAAGCGACGTAGTAGTAGTATAGAAGTAAGCGACGTAGTAGTAGTAGTATAGAAGTAAGCAAGCGACGTAGTAGTAGTATAGAAGTAAGCGACGTAGTAGTAGTATAGAAGTAAGCAAGCGACGTAGTAGTAGTATAGAAGTAAGCGACGTAGCAGTAGTATAGAAGTAAGCAAGCGACGTAGTAGTAGTATAGAAGTAAGCGACGTAGTAGTAGTATAGAAGTAAGCGACGTAGTAGTAGTATAGAAGTAAGCAAGCGACGTAGTAGTAGTATAGAAGTAAGCGACGTAGTAGTAGTATAGAAGTAAGCGACGTAGTAGTAGTAGTATAGAAGTAAGCAAGCGACGTAGTAGTAGTATAGAAGTAAGCGACGTAGTAGTAGTATAGAAGTAAGCAAGCGACGTAGTAGTAGTATAGAAGTAAGCGACGTAGCAGTAGTATAGAAGTAAGCAAGCGACGTAGTAGTAGTATAGAAGTAAGCGACGTAGTAGTAGTATAGAAGTAAGCGACGTAGTAGTAGTATAGAAGTAAGCAAGCGACGTAGTAGTAGTATAGAAGTAAGCGACGTAGTAGTAGTATAGAAGTAAGCGACGTAGTAGTAGTAGTATAGAAGTAAGCAAGCGACGTAGTAGTAGTATAGAAGTAAGCGACGTAGTAGTAGTATAGAAGTAAGCAAGCGACGTAGTAGTAGTATAGAAGTAAGCGACGTAGCAGTAGTATAGAAGTAAGCAAGCGACGTAGTAGTAGTATAGAAGTAAGCGACGTAGTAGTAGTAGTATAGAAGTAAGCAAGCGACGTTTTTGTCACCACGGACTTCATCCAAAAATTGGTATGACTAATTTTGGCGGCATTTTGCATCGTATAGCGCTCGTGTAAGGAAGTAAAACAACTTTAAAATTTTATCAACACGGACTTCATCCAAAAATTGGTATGACTAATTTTGGCGGCATTTTGCATCGTATAGCGCTCGTGTAAGGAAGTAAAACAACTTTAAAATTTTATCAACACGGACTTCATCCAAAAATTGGTGTAACTAATTGTGGCGTCATTTTGCCTCGTAGCGCTCGTGCAAGGAAGTAAAACAACTTTAAAAATCGTATGTTTTGTCAGATGTGTTGAAGATTACCACAAACTGATACAAACACAGTTTTTAATCCAGTCTCCTCTCGGAAATCTGACGTCCTTGTTGACGTCGCTTGCTTCAGCTTCCTGGTATCCACAGAGAGACGTAAAAAGACGCCTGGCACGCTTGTTGTCCCCAGGTTTATTAGTGATCGTCAATGTATCTGTTTCTAGGGGTATCCATACACTCGAGATAAAATCATTAAAGAAGCTAGAGTAGATATTCCTCCATTGTTACGTGATAAAATCTGGGCTGCTTTGTTAAATGTTACGGTATGTTAAAAATATTTTGTATTTGTGAGATTGTGACAGGATTGTGTCTTTATAATCATGCATGGAAACTAATGTTGTATCACTGTATAATGCGCTTATGAAATCAGAGCCCCTGACCTGTTCAGAGCCGCTAACCTGTTCAGAGGGTATATACTTCGTGTGACCCCTATTATTATGTATCAAGGCGGACACCTGACCCCCACCCCAACCCCGCCTCTAACCTCAACCTTGATAAAGTCGAGTGGAATGCCCAATAAATGCGTAATGTATGATGTGATGTTTATTTAGGGAAATGTTCCAGTCAACTACGACAATATTGATAAGGAATCTTTTACTCCCACAGATAGACAGGTTAGTATTGTACAAGGCGGATTTTGATGTAAATGCTGAGGGAGGTGGAAAAATTGTGGGGACGTTGTTTGAGCCCCACTCTAGCTATCAATGTATTTATGACTGTATGATCACAGCGTTTGCAGTAAAAGGCTACTTGACAGAGAGAAAACCAATTATCACTGTTTCAATTTTATAGAAGAACTTTAAAACATTTGAAGTGTAGACCTTGAACAAGCCATAAAAATAATAACAATCATTACGTTAAGTGTTATACGTTTGAGTCAAATTTTGATCAATTATTTGAGCTTTTTCTAGGGGGTGCATAAATTTGCAAGGAAGGTAAAAAAACTCTCAGGGGGGTGCAAAACGATCTCACTGGAGGTGCGCACCTCCCCTCAAAATCCGATCATTGTATTGTAAAGTTCTGCTGAAAGATCTAGAGATGAGAAATAATCGTTTTCTGAATGTTTCAGAATTTTGAAGATGAGATTACTGTATATTTATTTATCCTCCCGAATTCTTCCAGACAAATTCGAAAGTGGTCCGTCTTTATTCTTTTCGTTGACAATACATATTCCCACTCATCTTTGCAAGTTGACTCTGCATATAGCCGAGCAACTGATGTATTTATTTTCGTTCGATTCTAATTAAAGTTCCTTTTACAATCTTAGGAACTCTTAATGTTCTCTGATTGTCCACAGCATAAATAAAACTATAAAACAGGAAATGAACTTAATGTTCTCTGATTGTCCACAGCATAAATAAAACTATAGTTATC